ACTGTCCTCCAAACAAACTTAAAACTGAAAAAATATTTACTGAACCCCAGATCTCAAACCTTTATCACCTACACGCTTTACAATTACCCCCCAACACCCCACCCCCTTCCCTATAACCGTTACCCTTAACTTCCATAACCCTTCCTTTACCCTTAACTCCCCAGACCCATTCACTAAATCCATAATCCAGTCCATAATATTTAGCCCTCACCCTCCATAAAACTCTATGGTTCCCTTTAAATAAAAAAGTACTGCCTCCATACCAGGGTTTTTTTCTGAGGTAGATTCCTACCTTGGTATTGATTAGATCCTGGTAAACAGAGTGGGGCTGCACGGTGGAGCAGTGGTCAGTGCTGTTCCCTTGTAGAAGGAGACCTTTCTGCATGGAGCTGCCATACTCTCCTGTGCCTGTGTGGGTTCTCTCCGGGTGCTCCGGCTAGCCCACCCTTACTTTGTCTTCTTACGTCACACTAAAATGTTTTTACACAAAAAATATATATTTATTATAAATACAAACATTTATTGATGATGAAAACAAAAATTTATTTTAAAAAATTCTAAAAAAAAAAATACAGAACACCTTTACACATACCTCCATTACACTTCATATACACACACACCCTCACACACACACCCACACACACACACACATAATAATCCTGCCACAAGGGGCCCACAGTCCTAATGTGCTCCTGGTGCTGGTCCCAAGCCCAGATAAAAGGAGAGGGTTATGTCAAGAAGAGAATCCAGGAGTCTTTAGCTGGGCATACACTGTGCGGGCTTCGTCGTGCAATCTGAGTTCACAGCTCACGATGTATGTGCAGCACGACCCTTTCATACGATCTACCTGCTCACACTGCACGACTAAAAAGCACGTTGGACTCAGCTCCGCAGTGACATGGAGCTGCTCTGACTTGTCTATCTGGAAGCCAAACAAATAGAAGGGGAATATGAAGGCCACCATAGTGAAACGCGCTGCCTTAGCAAATTGTGCAATTTTGTGCTGAAAGCCCTAAAAAGAAAAGGCAGTGAAATATTTGGAAAAAGACATGACTGAGCAAACGTGGCTACTATGGTCTGTCAATTTTACAGACATAACTCCATTTCACTCATTGCATCTCTGCCATGTTTCTGTGTTTACAGAAGAATGCTTGTTTGCGCATGCGCACTGTGAGATTCGCACACGACGGTCGGGAGAAAATCAAACATGTTTGATTTTCCCCTGACCTCCCGATTCCTGATCGGGAAGTGGTTGTGAGAGGCTTATCGCCCCTCGTTACCCCCTGTACACTACCAACTCATGACACACGATGAAGCTGAAAGTCTGCCCGATCGAAAGATTCTTGCACGACTGGAAAATTCCCCCGAAAATCATACAGTGTATGCCCGGCTTTACTCAATTTGGTCGGCTTGCACCAGAGCAATCAGTAGTTGGACTGCTAATGTATTTAAGCAGCATGAAGGTCCATCCTACTACCGTAGGATCATTCCAAGCAAAAAGCCATCCCTTGTTCTTCTGAGTGGCTAATTGGTCTGTGTCTGCCTAGGAATGTGCTTATATAAAAAGATAAATAAATAAATCTGCATGTTCTCTCAATGGTAGCTTTATCTCGTCTGTTCCTGTTTGGCTGCCTGTCCTTGCCTAAATAAAAGTAACGTTCCAGTCTCTGCTGCAATGTGGGAAGTTGAAGCAGGGGTGATAAAAAGCAGTTGCCCGTCTACTCTAGACAAGGATAAACATGTCCTTAATGTGTTCAAGGTTCTCAGATCCTCCTTCTGTTGTGAGCTTCAGACAGTTGATGTCATGAAGGGAAAACAGTTGTTCTGAAATGTTTATCTGGATAGATTTATGTCTTTGGTGAATATAAGTTGTGAATATAACTCACCTTGGGTTTGTGCAAACTGCTAAATGGGACAATTGTAGCTTCATATATAGAGCTTTTCGTTGGGTGAAATAATGTTACTCCAATACTGAAGTCATACTGTTTGTCATTTTCTAAGTCGAAATGTTTAATGACATGAAAAGGCGAGACAAGACAAAATACAATTATTCTTTAAGTTGTTCTTTCTTTCACATAGTAAACTTTGCAATATAAATGAGTCTGTTGGTGAATGGACAATATAAATAGGCTATGCCTTGCCTTGTTGGAAAAGCATGGTTATGACCTGTTCTCAGCTCAGGAACTAGGACCTGTATGATATCAGGTTGTTCAATAGGTTTGACTAAATAAAAGATTTAGATATGAATTATCAAGTTATTCCTGCAAAAAGTTCTGATGTTGCAGGGGCAGGTAATGAGTGCTTGGAGCATGCTCTTGTTCTGATGCCATGTTTGTTTCAGCCTTCATCCAGGCCCATGTAGAAGGGCTGGTCATATCATAGGCTATTTGCATTACAATAGGGACATTTAGGAAGGTAGAGTGAATACACAAACTTGAAGAGGGGAGGGGGGCTTGCAGGAAAACTGAGGCCCCGTCCACACGAAGTCAAAACGAACACGAAACGCTGATATTTTCCAAAACGTTTGTCGTAAAGACGGAGACGTAAAATAAATGTGATCGTCCACACGAATGCATGAAAACGCTGCAAAATGTATGCCAGGCCTGTAAGTGGCGCTGTGGTGCCAAAGCAAAAATAAGCGACGAAATGTTGGGCATGCGCACTAATATTTATACATGGTTGCCCTGCGGGTCCATTTTCGTGGTTAAGACAAATTCAGGTGCTGAACTATGTCGTCGATATTGCTCTGTTCTTCCTGGAGATATTCCAGAAGAAGAAGATTCTGTTGTAAGCCCGACAGCAGGGTGAGTAGCATTAGCAGCAACCATTCAACACAGTACGGCGCCATTGTTGTTGTGATACTGTGTCGCGCATGCGTGTTTAGAGGCGACGCTATGACGCATGCGTGTAAAAAAAAAAAAGCGGTTAGAGCTTAAAGATGGAAACGCGAAAACGGCATTTCAGAATCTTCCCACTCTGAAGGCTGAATAAAAAAAAGATAGTTTACAGACCCCCGAAACGCCGGCTTCGTGTGGATGAGAGGCTGGTTTGCTGAAAAATTTGTGCGTTTAGGCCAGGGTTCGGCTTCGTGTGGACGGGGCCTGAAATTCTCTGGGACTTCTAGTGTTAATAAGACTTCAAGCTGTCATAGCCGAAATGGTAGCAACAAATGGGAGCATGGTGTTTCTGGATTGGGCTGTATATCCCAGGAGAGCCTGCAGGGGAATCTTTTCCTTGTCACAATCCTTCATTTACTTTTTATTCTTCGTTTTTTAGGGAGATAGAACAGAACAAGTCAGCTTGTGAATGTAAAGTCGAAAGACACTATTTGTTTGCAAAGTGTTTGACAGATCTATGATTATGATGCATGTTTCATCCAAAATTGCAGGTAAACCGTTTTCACACACAGATATTAAATTTTGAACAAAAGAGCAAAGCGTATTTTCAATTAATCTTAATATAAATACTTGGTTTGTATTCATGGCTGGACTTTGACTACACCGTTCTTAGATCAAAAACCCTTCAATTGTTGTTCTGGTTGTGAGTTCAGGATCCTTGTCTTCTCTCCTCAGTCTCTTTTACAGAAACAGGGTTTCTTTCAGGATTTTTATATTTCTCCACAAACTCTAACTAGCTTTCTTGTTCACATTGACAAAACAATTCCAACAGAATGATGGCTTTCCCTCCATGTCTCAGTGTGGCAGGGCTGACTGAGGTGTGGCTTTCGTTTTCTTTTTAAAGCAGTTTATGGAATATTTTATTATGAAAAATCTTTTGCTTAGAAAACTGTCAATTCTGTATAGTCAAGGAAGGCAAAGGTTAATGGAATAAGGGGAGAACAAAACATTTTTGTGTAAATGGAATAAATTGTCTATCTTGTATCAAATAATTATGAAAACCTTCTGCTTGCTTTACCAGGCATACCTGTCACATTTTACAACTTCAAAGCCCTATTTAGTGCAGCTTGGTCTGAAGTCAAGATTTGTTTTGATCCAGAAGACATTTTTTTGTTTTTTTATGTTCAAGTAATCGATTAATTAATAAAACAAACTGATCTGAAAATGTTTTGTTAGGTTATGTCAAAGGCTTTAAAGTTGTTCAAATGTATCCACATTTTATTGAGTGGTTATTTGAACTGCTGTGCTGAACTGGTTGGCCACTCCTGCACTATGGGGATGATGTGTGGAATTTTAGTTCATGTTTATGAGTCTCCCACAAGGCAACACCTGCTTTACATTTCTAAACACCTTCATCCCTCTCCTATCTGCATGTCTCTTGGTCCTCTTTGAGCAGTTATCTCCTCTAGAAAACTTTCCAAGCCTTTATTGAATGTTCATATTTATATGAATATTTGATTTCTGATGGCTTTGTTGTATTTAAAAATATTATATTTACTGGAAGATTGTTGCTCTGGATTTTATGAAAGAGTATCGGAGTAAAGTCTAAATACCCATGCATGCCTCAGCTTAATATTTCTACTTTTACAAATGTCCTTTTGTGCTGGACCGTCACATGGAATCTGTAGAAACTATGCTGGGTGTAATGTGACAAAACTGGGAAAGAGTTAGATGCCAATGCTTGCTCTGCAGAAGTTTTCAACTTTAAAAAGAATTTCCCTTCTCTTTAATAGTGTATTCTCCTTTCAAAGATTCAATAATATTATCAACACTTTCACCACTTTTTACTAAACAACCTCTTTCACTGTGTCTATTTTATGGTATGGAAATGTCAGTTTTGTGATTTTCTCTAAATTATGGACAACAATCCCAAAATGAACATGTTTGTGTGCAAAGAACCCTGTATACGTTACTTATTTTTGTAAATTTACAGATTACTGACTCTGCTTCTCTGACACTGTTGCTAAAGCTTTTCCTTTAACATAAAAGCAAATACATATAATTGTAAAAACACCTGGATGCCTCTTGCATCTGAAGAATATTAATTTGTCTACCTTTCTGTCTTTTTTTCTGTCCTTTAAAGTCCGACATGGTCCAGTGTTGATGGATCCGTCTGAGCTGTTTAAGACCAGGGCGCCCCCTGTGGCGGTTCACGCTGACCTGGATGTCTTAAGCTTCCTGCAACAACCGGGGGAGGACAACAGCACGGCAGAGCAATGCTTCCGCGCTCACTCTCGGAACAGCGTCCTCCAGGGCCTGCCATTTGGTGGGGTGCCCACAGTCCTCTTCATAAATGTGGTGCTTTGGATGGTACATACTTTCACACACACATTCTCACCAAAAAAAGTCTGTTGACTCCTCTTTCCAACAGCAATACTTCCTGTTTTTGTGTAAAACTAAAATAATATTTACTAAAATGAATGGATTACAGACATGCAGTATTGCATGGATCCAGATCTTAAGCCATACATCTTAAATGGGACTGATGTTGATGTAGTTTTAGAAGTATCTTAGTTTTAAATGTCTATCAGTTGTTTTGAGGGGAAGGACACCTGCTGTCACCATACTGCCACAATCATACTTAATAGTAGATTTTCTGTTTGTAGATGTAAAAGCCTCATCCTGATCCCTTAAAACATAACGTTAAAGTGACCAAACAGCCCAGTTTTTTTTTACTGGCACAATAAAACATTATTAAAAAGGCTGTTTGTTTAAAAAAAAAGGACATTTTTGTAACTTGGGGACAATCAGGCCTGCACAGTGATATCAAATACTCATGCCAACTGTTTTTGCAATGAATCAAAAAGAACAGCTTCCTGCATGGTCTTTATCTCTACTCTACTGAAAATGTTTGAACTATGTTCAGAAATCTGTGTCAGGAAACCGTCCTGTTCAAATTAATGGCACTAATTCTGATCTGAACAAAGGCTGAGTATCCTACGAATTATTTCAGAAGCTTTTTGATGCTAGAAACTAATGTGCCATCTCTTTGACTGTATGGATTATGTGAGCCTGTATGTATAATTATGAAGCTTTGTTGATAAGAAAAACTACAATCTTTGGTGGACATACTCCTCAAATGATCTGGTTTTAAGCACTTTTGCATGAAGCACCTTGGGATTTTAATCAAAGGAAAGACAAACTTCAATCAAATTTGCCTTACTTAATTTTATAATGTTGAAATCTTTATCTTGGTGTGTGTTTAAACAAAATTAATTAAAAGATTATAGAGAAGCAAAAAAAAAATCCAGGTTGTTATGGAGGAGTTGGAGTTCCCCCGCAATGACCTGAGTCCTGCTGACAGAGTAATATTACTCAGATTTCAGCTGCTATCCTTTTAGACAACATTTAGAAGCTAAAATTAAATGAAGATATCTGATATATAAAAATTACCCAAGAAGTTTTATTAGAAGTTGGATTTATTTATTTTTATTTCTGTTCTCTTTTTTCCAATCCTTCTTCCCTCTGTGCACCTCTGATGATTTGATTGACAGCAGTGTTTCTAAATATAGCTCAAACTGCCATCACCTTGTTAACACGTCACACAAGGACCAAAGAAAGCTGGCAACAAGAGTGTGATAGATTTTTTATTTTTTTGAAAATAATTTAGGACTTTCTAATAGACATTGTGTGTCATTTATCTGAGAGGAACAGCGGCTTCAGTGTTGCAATAAATCCTGATTTTCTTCACCCCTCTTTTTTTTTTCTCTATCATTACAATGTCTCCACTGCTTTCTGTGACCTTTAGCAGCTTGGGCGCATCATGTGGGCAAAGACTGCAGTGAGGCTCCCTTCAAAAGGCTGAATGTGTTAGGAGCATGTAGAGCTGGAATTTATGACTATTGGGATATGGGAGAAAAGAAATTCAGCATCTTTGTCCCTTGCAATGTTAATATTGTGCATATTTTTCATGTTTTGAAATGTCCAATATAAAAGCAAGGTTTATGTCAAATTAAAGAAGGTATTGCTTTGAAAAAGCATTTGGGTGATTCTCCAAACACAATGACATTTATTAGGATTTCATGTAACAGATCCATGAGCTAGTACAAACAGCACCATGAAGACCAAGGTAAACAAAAGGCAGATCAACTGTAAAGCTCTGTGAAAGATTAAAGCAGGGTTAGGTTATACAACAATTCCCTACGCTTTGACCATCTCATGGAGCTCAGTTCAATCCATCATCTAAATCTAAAACTGTGTCTAAGTTAGACGCAGCTTTAGATTTAAGAAGCCAGTAGCTTTATGGTGTCTCTGGAGATGCTCCACTTGGGTGGAAGAATCTGTGGAGGTGAAAAATATAAGTTATGAACTCCTGAGCTCATCCAGAGCCGCCAGCCCAGTGGCAAAACTTGGTGTGGGCAGTATCATGATGTGGGGTGAAGTTAAAGTGAAGATGGAATGAGTTTAGTACAAGATAATCCATGAAGAAAACCTTTCAAAGCCTGAAAAAGAGAATGTGAAGGGAATCCCTCCTCCAGCAGAACAACAATATTCCATATACATGGAGTAATTTAAAATATGCCTAAATGATTCCATCAAAGTCAAATTGAGAGTAAAGTTGAGGTTTGTGACAGAAATAATGTAGATCCTTCCAATTTGAGCTGCTTTGTATTTCTATTTCAGACTCTAGATGTGCAATGGTGGTAGAGACACACTCCAAAGATTTGCAGCTGAAATTACTCAGGGGCTTAATTCAAATAAACTTCACACACTTCAAATTTTTATTGGTTTTAAAAAAAAGAGAAAACCTTTGAACACCATGCAGAATTTTTATACATATGTACTACTACCTTGTGTCAGAGCTGTAACCAGAATATTATTATAGGGGTGACCAGGTACGAACTGATATGCCCTGAGAGGTCGCTGAAAGCGGATAGGCGCCAGAAACTCAGGGTCAATTTACGCTGTTCCAACGGGGAAATGAACGAGCACAACATACATATTTTCTTAATAATGACAAAATATTTTTTCTTACTATTTAAAACTATATTTTCTTATATTTGCACATCCATGCTGTCTAAATTAAAGGTATAGAGGACAAACTTAATTCAGCTTTAAGTTATGGGGTAACATGTTATATATTGCCTAAACCTCTGAAAAAAAAAAACTCTCAACTGTACTTTTATCAATAATAGTTCAACATAATATGAATATTAATTATACTAATACATACATGAAATGGATTTACTTGTTATTCATCTTTGTTTACACTGGCGACTCCTAGATGACCGCAGAGACACATAATTTTCTCTTCACCAATAAAAACAAAATGTTCTGAAAAGAGCATTAATTCTGTATTTATCATCTTTAATGTTAGTATATTTATGAGTAAATAACCAACATATGTTTTGTCAGTGTATTGTTAATATATGAAAAATGAAAAGGGCCCCCTATCTAGCTACGCCCCTGCCTTGTGTTGGTCTTTCCCACATAATATCCCAAAATACAATAACGCGTGAGAAAGTTTCATGTGTATTAATATCCTGACTGCAATCACTGTAGGTTTATAACAAGAGTTTCTTTTTACAACCTACCGGTAACCATAACCTTTTAACCATATTGTTATTTAAACTATATAGAAGAAAAATACTAATTCAGATTTTTTCTCCTTCAGACCTGAGATTTTGTTTCCCATAATTATGTCCACAAACAGAGATCCAAACACATCAGTCTCTTGTCACATACATCAAGTGAAATATAATTTTGAGAATCCATTGTGTCGATTATTTACAAACATGGGTGTGCTGTTTGTCTTGGAGTCTTCCATATAATAATAGGCTTCAATTCAGAGCTGTCAGCCAGCTCAGTTCCACTGTCAGGCTCCGTCATTCTTGATCTCCACTCTCAATCAGCATCCATCTTTTATTGGCTAATCTTTTGACTTCTGGGTTGTCAAGCCAACGCAGATTTTGAGTGCCGTTTCTTAATGACGGCATAAGTTAAAGTGTGTTTCCCTTCAGGTGATGGGAGCACGCCTCCACATTAATCCTATCATCATGCTGAATAAAATATGTGCAGGGATTACAGAGAAAATGTTTTTAACAATGAGGGAGGAGCCCAGCAGGGAGAAAATATCAAGAAGCCAAACGTTGGCCCATTATTCATCCTGCAGCCTCCGTAATGTTTTCATTGCTTAAAGACTGAATCATTGAACATTTATGGATGCTTTCCCCCATTAACACAGCTGACAGGAAAAGCTTAGATGAGGAAATGATTTAAAGCTGCCATTAAAATCAAAAGCTCATCAGCACTTTCAATCAATTAGCATTAATCAGCATTCATCCACAAAGTCTCAATCATGTCCTTGGATACCACTTGACTCCACTTTGAAGCTGTAGTGATTTCAGGGCCTTTACTGCATTTAGATCTCATGGAGACAAGCAGCTTGGCCTGTTCTTTTCAGCTTATCCTTTTTTTCTTGTTTGTTTTTAACAGATGAACACTGATTTGACATTATTGCATGGCATGTGCTCACACTGACCTGTTTCTGATAGTTTCCAAGACAACCACACATAATAAGTACTGGAAAGAGTGATTGGGGGGGGGGGGGGGGGGGGGGGGGTTCTTTGTTGCTGCAACAAAATGTTTGAAATCCTGAGAGTAAGACAGAGAATTTAGAGGCAGCTTCATGATCAAACATCATGGAGACGCTTGAGCCAGAGCGGATAAGAACAAAGTGAGGGAATCTGATTTCCCAGAGGCTCTGAAATGATTTCCCTTATTTTGTGTTGCAGTTGTTATTGCTCATCTTTTCTTGTCTGAGGAAGGCTGCGTGGGATTATGGGCGTTTGGCCCTGCTTATGGACAATGACAGGTAAGTCCCACACACTGTAACCTAATCAGAAACAGCAGATATCAGGTCTTATTGTACAAAGGAGGAGAAATGAGGCTCAGTGGTGTTTCTTCTAATGCAGCAGCTCCCTCTGTTGGTTGAGAAAGACAACAGATTTCTGTATTTCTATTTTTTTAGAACAAAACGTTTAAACAAAAAGCTTCATTTTATTTTTGATTTTTGGCATTAATATAATTAGGATATGTATGTGATTTACACTCTATTGAAGTAATTTATTTTATACGTACATCTAATAATTTTTAAGTGTACATAAAAAAGACGAAAAAAAACACAAATATTTTTAAATTTCTGAAACTTCAGATCAAGAAATGCCCTGCTTTAAATTGAGGGCCTATAAATGAATATGAATGTTTGAATTTGAAATTTGAAGGTTTTTTTCTTTGGGGGGAATGGAAGAAAAACAACATACAGTTTTCAAACTACACATAAGTCTGTTAAGTGGGATGTGCGTATGAAACCATCGTCCTTTACAGTGGTAGCCCTGGAAAAAAATCAGAATGACACAAGGAAGCTACTCCAAGCTGCTAGGAGCATAGATGGAGCAGAACACAGGTCTGTCCTGGAGGAGAGTCTGGATGAGAGATTAACTTTTCAGTAAGACCTTGATCCTAACTTTTTAGACAGAGCTACGAGGGAACGGTTTAAATCAGAACATATCCATACATTAAAAAGGTCCAGCATAAATCCAAACCTAATTTACTTTGCGAAACTTCATCAAGACTGATAATTAGGTCTTCATCCAAGCATGATCTGTTTTGCAGAGAGAAGATTGGGTCTTTAAATGTAAAAACTCTCAGTAGTAGGCTGCGGCCACAGAGTATTGACTCATTGTAGCTGAATGTAAAATACACATATTCATTTGTATATTTTGAACCTTCTCCTTCATAGTATTGGTGTCTAATAATAAAAAATTGGTTTTGAGTCGAAAGGTGAAAGGACGACGATTTCCTTGCAGGGCACTATAAGTGTCAGTACTAGGTGTGTCCCGATACAACTTTTTGTTGTCCAATACGCCAATATGGCAGCTCTGACTACTGGCCATTACCAATACAATATCATCATAAATGGATGCATACATTTATTACTCATTTTATACCGTAGTATCTTGGAAAAGGGGTGATCATCTGATACTACTCAAATAGAGAACATTTATGACTTATGGGTTACATAAACTTTAAAAAGTATTTCTGTCAGCATGTTTTTAATCAGAGATTTTAGATGCAGGCAGATATATTCAAACATTCGACTGATATCAGACGGATCTGTTATCAATATCAGATCAGGACATCCGTAGTCGGTACCTTAAACCGTAAAGCAGGGGTCACCAACGCGGTGCCTGCAGGCACCAAGGGTCCTCAAGAACCACATGTGGTGCACTCAATGTCTTCTGAAAACAGAAAAAATAAACAGTAGGCTAAGTTTGAAATGTTTTTTTTATTCTGTTGCTCTTCTTTTTAATCATTTATAAATCCATCCATCCATTATCTGACACGCTTGTCCCAACTGGGGTCACGAGGGGTGCTGGTGCCTATCTTCAGCTGTCAATGGGCGAGAGGCGGGGTACACCCTGGACAGGTCGCCAGTCCATCGCAGCATTTATAAATCCCTTCATCATATTATAGATTTCAAATGCACATTATTCAATAAGACATTTGAAATCTAAAGTTAATACACAATAAAAATGAGTTTCTTATGGATTAGGTTTAGGTGAACACTGATCACTCTTGTCCATAGGTCAGTATTGGTAGCCCTTCCTGTGACTCAGTAGCCATGAAGTAGCCCTCAGCCTTTAAAAGGTTGGTGACCCCTGCCGTAAAGCTTGTTGAATACAAAATTGAAAAAGTTTTGATCATATTTTTTCTGAGCATTTATCTTGCCAGTTTCCTGACTAAATAACTGGAAATCAAAGACATTATTATATTTTTTCAATCTCTTTGAAATGTTGTGGATTGGGTGATGTCAAACGCCTCCAGGATTATTCCTATCAGAATGAAGGCCGATCGACATAAGCACAATGATCAGTATTTGGAATATGATTTAAGGCTGTGAAATGAAGCTTCTTTGTAGGTTTTCTTCAACTCGTCCTGCATCATGAGCTTGATTGATTCTGCCTGAATGGAGACAGTTTTGCTGTGCAGGGCTGGACGGCATCTGTCTGTAATACCAAGCGGCCCTGTCTTATTGTAATTGAATTGCACTGCTTCATTTGCCATCTGCTAAACCATCAGCTGTGAAGCCTGGAGACTGATTATCACAGACTTGATCACATTTGCCTGCTTGTTGTTGATGTCCTGCTTATTTTGGAACCCCTGGTGCACAGCGTTTGTTTTTCTGTGCATTGAAAAGGTCAGAATTGACGGTTAGAAAAAGGTTATTCTGTTCCTTCTTGTCCCCCTCAGTCTTACATCCCTGTTTTATGGAGAACCGAGTGAAAAGGAGAAGTCTCCCTCGGAGTCCAGCCCCTCAGACTCTGAGATAAAAGACATGGTGAGTTTTAGAATCATTAATTATACTGAAGCTAAAAAAAAAAAAAACACAAATTTTATTGCATAACCTGCTTTATAGCAAATTGCATTACCCAGACTGTTGCTCTTTCAAAAGATCCAAATACCAAATAAAATATTTCCTTTATTAAAATATTATTTTGTCTTCTTTGTCGTAACAAAAAACTTGTATTTGAGATCTAAAATATTTTTGTTGAGGGTTAAATTTTTTTCCCTTTTACGCTTTTAAGTATAACACTAAAAGTAACAAAATAAAACAACATTAACCTACCTTTAGTTCACATGTGCCTGTGTATCTGTCACAACAATGGGTGCATTTGTGTTCTTGTGCTTCTCTGAAGTGTTCCTACCCTTTGCTATTTTAATTATTGATTGATAGCCATAAGCATAAATGTTTTTAATTGGAATTTTATGTCAGACTCCAACAAAGAACAGTGCAAAGATTTGAAGTAATAATAACATTCATCCATACTCTGCTACTTATTCATTAGGGTCATGGGGGTTTGAAGCCACAGTCTATAGATGAAAGGCAAGATACAACAATGTTCAAATCTGAAAAGTGTGGCTTGCATTTGTTTTCAGGCCTTCAAAAGTCTATACTTTTTAAATCCAAGTTTCAATGTGATTTGAGCTCCACTCAAAAAAGTGTCCATAGTCCTATTGATCTTATTATATGAGATTAATGTACTAATACAGAGCAGATTTGTCAGATTATTAATCTTCTTTTGAGAAAATTCTACTCAAAAATAAGTGTAATAATCTGCGAGTGCATTAAAACAAGTCTACTTGTTAAGACTTCTTATTTTTTTAAATATACTGTAATTTCAAGAAATCCTACCAAGCATAATTGCCTTACTGCACTGGATGATTATTCTACTGATTCAGAATATAATTTTCTCCAATGAAGATTAATAATCTAAAAGAATCTGTTCTTGCCTAATATATCAACCTCAAAATAAGATCAAATGTACTTTTGTCTAGATACCAGAATGCAAGACTTGGTTTTGATGGACAATTTTTTAATGTATGATTATTTTTGGAGCCTGTCTCTGATATATTGATACATCTCTTTACAGTACAGTAATTATATTTCCGCAAATTGTTCTTTGTAAAGCAGCTCAAGCTCAGTCAAATTAGACAAAAGTGTCTTTCAGTGTCAGTTTTACTGTGTTAAAACAAAATCTCAATTAAAATCTTTGAGCTCTGGGCATTCTACAAATATGCTTTAATCTGATCCTTACACCTCTGGGTGTAGGTTGAGGATTATTGCTTTGCTAGAGATTTAACCTCAACCCAGTTTTAAGAGTTTTCCAGACTCCTCCAGTTTTTCTTTCAGGATAGCCTTAAATATAGTACTATTCAGTTTACAAATTAACTCTATCCAGCTTCCATGATGCTGGTGAAGAAAATCATCCAGATAGCATAATGTTACCACCACCATGTTTCATCATGGAGATGGTGTCTGTCTGCTCTTTTCCCTGACCTGTCCTCTTTGTTCCTTGGTTTTCATTAGTCTGTTTGCTCACAAACCTCTGAAGTCTCCACAGAGCTGCTGGATTTAAACTTAGAAAAAAAGCACACATAGACCCTGTTGTATGTGTTGGTCCCCCAACACAGTCCTGAAAAAATACGTAAAAGTCACAAAATGTGAAGCTTATGGGGTATCAATACTTTGGCAGGGTATTGTTGTAAAAGCTTTTGTTCTTCTTATATGTTGTTTCTTGGATTTGAGTTAAAACTAGCCAAATAATTGTTTTTATTAGTTATTTATTTTTTTAAATGTGCGTACCAACTGATTTTAAAGGAGCACAGTGCAAGCTCCAGAGGTTTGCCTCCTCTGTTGACAAGTTGAAATGACACCAGTATTGCGCAGGAAGTAAAGAGCCCTGCAGTCTGCCACTGCAGAACACAGCAGGTCTCTTTTTAGAGGCTTAACGTCTTCTAAGAAAGTTATTGATAATGCTTATTTAAACAGAGCCTCTAACCTTTTTAGCCAAAGAAAGGGCCAACTGCTCCTGCTTAATCCAGGGGTCTGCAACCTTTGCATTCCAAAGAGCGATTTTCTGACATCAGTCCAGCTAATGCAACTAGTTTAGAGCTGCAAACATTACATTACCCTTTTTTTAAAAAGAAAAAAAGATTACTTATGTTTTAAAAATATCTACAACAGGAGATTTGTCAATTGTAAATCTTCACTGTGCCATTTAGAATTTTAGGTTTTAAGATGAAGGAAGAAACTCCTGAAAAGAGAATAAACTTCTTTTTCACTGGTTTTGCTGAAATTATTTTGTAACACTTTTTTAAAAAACACAATTTTCTCCATGTATAAAAGATCAAATTTTATATTTCTGTTATATGTACAGTTGATTTATTTTAGAAATGCAATGCAATTAATCAGTGGAGAAATTACATTTGATAGTATATCAATATTTCTCAAAATTAGCTGCCTCTTTCTCATTTTTAGCCAAAGTGATTGAGAACCATTGTATAGTGTCTGAGCCCCTGTGGCTCCAGAGCCACGGGTTGCAGACCCTTGTCTTAATCCATTGCAGGTCAGACTTCAGTGTGGTCCCTTTCATTGCACTACAGAAAACATTTTTTTTTACTCTTGTGTGGAGTCTGTGAAGGGGTTTAAGGTGCCCTTCTGGTTGGTATTTTGTGATTTACAAAAAATGTCACACCTGTTCTCTTGCTGCAGCAGAAATTCAACATATTGCAGCTCAACCCCCCCCCCCCCCCCACACACACACACACACACACACACACACACACCTAAAGAATTTGGCTCCATCACTCTCTAATTAACTGAGTAATGTAACCTATAGATGCAACTGTGGTTGAGGAAAGCTCCTTTTACACATCATACAATTCAAATGGCATTTATGAAAAAGAAAAAAAAAAGACTTTTAAACTTGCACAATGCACCTTAAAAAGATGAATCCACAGATGTGACACAATGTTTCTGCAAATAGATTACTCAAATACAGGTTAAAAAACATACTTTCTCACTCTTTAACATACTTCTGTCACAGTGCATACTTTATAGAAGCTCGTGGTCACCACCAATTGACAAATTAGTGTAACCTTAACCCGATCAGACCACCATGAGTGTGAAACTATAGCACTAACTTGTTAACTCTTAAAAGGATGGCTAACCGTTCCATGGAATGAGTGGACCTGCTTCCATGCTGCTCCTCTCCCTTTGAGTCAGTAATACTATAATTAGGATAAACAAATGTGAGTAAAGGAGGAGGAGACTGGTGGAGTCCAGCCATCAACACCCTGCACAATATTTTTAAGAAATACTATCATTACCACTACCAAAGATACTGCACAGACGACCAGTCTCACACAGGTTTATTTAGAGTAATTACACCAATGTGTCACTGTTAATTTGCTGAATCTATTTTCGTGCCTACAAAAACATGCATGCTGAGTTTTTCATGATGAGGCCCAGTTTGCTTGAGATGGTGCGGCCCCAACTGTTTGGACCATGACTCACTGAACTGTCTGTGACTCCCTGTGACACCTGTGTGACAGACTAGGGTCACTCCCTGCCTGTTTATAACACTGCAAGTCAAAGAGTCAGACAGGAGTCAGCCGCCTGTGCCCACACAGAGCCGAGGCGGCACTGAACTGATTACAGCACCAGCCTAGACCCATTAAATCCCCATCTCTTTGTCACACTGCAGACCTCATGTAAGGCGCACGCATGTTTCCACATGTAGCATGTTGTTTGCCTTTAGTTTTATGATTCTCTTCTCATTCCAGGGCTTCTGCTCATGGCTTTCATCTCTTTACCATATGAAGTAAGTTAACACACAGCAGTTGGTTCTGAAATTATTTTTATCCTCCTCTAATCTCCGCTGATGTCACTACCCAATGTAAAGTCTATGCTACATCTCTTTTAACAGCTAAGTAAACCCATCTGGGCTTTTGTGGCTTTTTGCTTCTGAATTTTGACTGCACATTATTGTTGTAAAAGCCGCCGTTTTGATGGTATCCATGGTTTCCATAGTACAGTGGTAGCTTCTGTTTTTAGCTTCTATGTCAGCGGCTCACCCAAGGATCTCTAGGGAAGAACGATCCCACCCTGAGAGTTCATAATGTGTTGGCTGCATTCAGACCAGCATGCACTGCTTACCCCTTTGTTCTAATGTCTTTCTGGGTTTTCTGAACTTTCCCTTTGATTTGGCTAAATCTTAAGGCTCAAACATAAGCCAAGTGTTATGGCGGCCCTTTAGGTACTGGTTAAACCTAGACTGTCTGCCAGTTACAATTCTTTTCATCTATAAAACTCGGTCTCAGATGTTTTATTGTGTGTGTTCAGGGACGAGGAGATCCGCAGCAAGTGCGGCATCGATGCAGTCACATACCTGTCCTTTCAGCGCCACATCATGCTACTCATGACAGTGGTTTCCCTGCTGTCTTTGGCTGTAATCCTGCCCGTCAACTTTTCAGGGAACCTTCAAGGTATGATGGTTGATTAGGCAATTATCTGATAAGAAACCTTTGTAAAAAGCCAAAAAATACCACTAGCCTCAGGAAGCAGCATTCTAAATATTTCATACCCATAGCAAGACATTACATTGATACCAACCCTAAACGTTACCTGTATATTCTTAACCTTAAAGTTGATTCACAACCTGGCTCTAAGCCCACATCCTTTACAAACATCAATCCGCAACATAAACCCAGACAATAATCTCCATAAGGCCTGTAAGGTCCTCACAAGGTTAGTAAATATACCAGTAGAAGACATAATAATAATAATAATAATACATTTTATTTAACAGCGCCTTTCTTTACACTCAAGGTCACTTTACAAATAATACATAATACATAAAAAGGTAAACTTAAAAAGTACAAGTAAATATTACAAAAAAAAGTACAATCTTTAAATCACAAAATATCACATTGAGGTGCACAATCCAATGTCGATACCTGGGGCTGAGTTTATTGGCTGATATTTGATAATGATTCAACTGCTGATGGATGAACCCTATATCTTGCCGTGTGAGTGAAGGCTTGGGCCTTGATATAAACTTTGTTAAAAAAAAGTTATCATACTAAAACAGATATAAATGTACTTTATATAATTTATTGACAGATAAACAGGATTAAAAACAGTTCCATTTAAAGTGCACTAGATTGGAGTTCCAATATCTGATATTAAATCAGTTATATCTGATCCAGCTAATCAGTCAGTATTGATATCCAATTCAGGTATCAGATCGGTGCATTTCTACTTAAGTTTCTTTTTACTTTAGCTTAACTGTTTTACAGTGTGAAACAATTTTTCATTTGTATCAATGCATTTAAAATTTCATTAAATTTGAAACCTGTCCATCCTCCTAACTTAACAGGGAGAACATTTACTAACAAGTAGCCCAGGGACTAGAGATACAAAGCCCAGGCGAGATAATCTGAGTTCTACAGCTCAAACATCTAATTTTTATGGTAATTAAGAAAGAAGAAAGCAATAAAGTCTCCAATTTAAACCTTAACATAAGCCATGCAAGGTACTGTACATCCCCCTAAGCACAACATCCCTACAAAAAAAGACTTTGGTGGCAGAATCATGGTATGAAATAGTGTGAGGATGCCTTAGTTGTTTGTTAAAGTTGACAGGAGGATGGATGAAATAAAATAAAGGGAAGGCCTGGAAAAAGAAAACTGATATAGGCAAAGTAAGACTTTAGAATATTAATAAAATAAGCAGAGTAATAAAAATATTACCTTCCAACAAGGCGTAATTCTCAATTTTTTTTAAAGCTGGAAGAACATTGAAAATATGCTAGTTCAATTCAGTAGCTTTTATCTGTCCCAGTGTGGGCAATTTTTGTGCAGTAGTAGTACACCTTTCACACACATATTCACACTTTACACATAAAAACACAAGAAACACATAAAATATATATTAAAAAAGGATAAAAGTAAGGTGGATAAATAAATAAATATGTGCAGTGCAGAGGATGAATAACAGCGTAGGCCTATATGCATGCAGCATATGACTATCTGCTTTTCCCAGTAGAGTTTAGCAGCTGAACAGCAGAGGGAATAAACCGAGCCTTAGTGTTAGTATGGCTGTCTCATTGCCCAGACCTAAATATACCTACTGGACAAAACTTTTGGACTGATGGATACGTTTTTTTTGTTTGTTTTTTTTTTCAAGAACGGGTAAAGAATACAGTTTCTAAATGAAACTTACACCGAGATATATTATTGCAATGAAGATCTGATTTAAATGGGCAAATAAAAATGTGGGTCACACTTTATTTTTTTATTCATAAGATAATCAAGTCTCTATTGTTCTATCACACAACATGTCTGTGAAATACATAAAGAATTTAGTGGTGTCCTTTAGGCTTTTACAAAAAGAACTGCCTCATCTCCCGCTAAAGCACACCAACAGGTGTAAGGAGAGGGTTGGTATACACAACCAGCTCTTAAAAAGCACCATAAATCCAAGCTGTGTATTTATTTTGTAGGAACACAAAAGGATAAAGACAGGGACCGGGAAATAGACAGCTTGCAGAAACTTTTTTGAAAGCTGCTCGTTGTCATGTTATGGCCCATTGCGTTACCCTCTTTTTACATAAACCAATTGAGGCTGCCATAGCAACGGTAAACAAAGGCTGGCCCAAATTATCCCAGACTGGGATGTGAGGACATTGTGTAAAATTCATATAGATGAACATGACTTTGCCTTAATTGTGTCTCGCCCTGCAGAATAAAAGTGGTGGGATTTTCCACCAGTCTGAAATATATGTCATGTGTGATTATTTCTACAGGAGACAGCCCCAAAGACTTTGGAAGGACGACCCTGGCTAATGTTAGCGCAAAGTAAGTGAAAGACAGCTTGGATGACATCAAATGTCATGAAACTAACCAGAGCTGTTAACATAGTTGGTGTCACTGATGTGTTGTTTTGTGCTTCAAAGGGACAGTTTTCTTTGGCTGCACAGCGTCTTTGCTTTGGTTTACTTTATCATCACTCTGGTGTCGATGGCTCACCACTCAGCAAGGCTGGAGCACAGAGAGGATGAGAAGGTCTGTCTGCATTGCATCATATCCACAATGTCTATGGAAATATTAGGCATTGTTACATACAAATAATTATCACAAAACCTTCAGACATGTGGTTATTTTTCTCGGGTTTATTCTAAAATGTGTACTTTAATAAAATAGTTCTAGAGGAATCAATAAGCATCAGGAGTAAACAAAGATTAAGGTTGTTTTTGCTGTGGTTTTCTCTGTAACTGCAGGAATGAGGTCATCGTTCTTTACAAGATGCCTCTTTCTGTGTGGAGTTTGCATGTTCTCACTGTGATTCTGTGGTTTTCAGAGGAAAAGACATCTGGCTCTAGATGTTTGTCTCGATTATTTGGGGAGAAAAAAAACATGTCCCATATAATAGGCTTGTTTTTAACTTAGATAAAACCAAAAATAGAGGAAAACACCTGAAAAAAGATAACCAACTAAAAAAAAAAAAAAAAACACAACAAAAAACAAATTGAGCAACAAACACTGTAAAAAGCCCTACCCCTCTTGTTTGAGTTTGCCAAAAGAGAGATAAAAAAAAAAAGACAAGGCTTTCACAAATACTCTTTATTGGAGAAATATTTCTAAAATGAAAATATTAGAATGCCATAATTAAATGCTGCAGTCCATGAACGCTGAACAGCATGGAGCTGGAAGATTCATGGTCTGGATTCTTTGCTGCGGTGGAACAGGGCCAACACATCTTAGATTCCAACAAGATTTCTGCTGTTTTACTGAGGATGCTTGAAGAAAATGTGAGACCTTCTGTAAGAAAAAAAAAAAAAAAACAGGCTAAAAACAGATGCCGCATAAAAATAAATAAATAATAATAAATTGAACTTTATTGATCTCACATTGGAGAAATTTATCTCTGCATTTAACCCATCCCCTTGGGGAGCAGTGGGCTACCATTGTGCGGCACCCGGGGAGCAGTGTGGGGTTAAGGGTCTTGCTCAGGGCGCCAGAGTGGCAGTCTGGGGGATTGGGGGATCAAACTCCCCATCTCAGGATTCAAAGCCCTATGCCCCAACCACTAGGCCGCCACTTCCCTTAATCATCATCATCATCATGAAAATGATCCAAAATCAACAAAGAGCTGGTTGAAACAAGAACACAATAAACATAGAATGGGATGGTTAAAATCACATTCTGATTAGGATTTATTCCAAGCCTAATAAGATTAGATTTCGTCCAGTCTAATCCTACCAGGACACCATGGAGTGGGCTGTATTAGAAAGGACCCCCTGAAACATCTCACAGATAAAAACTCTTGGATAAGGTAGTTTTATTATCCTGGTCCTTAGGATCTATTTTTCTTGATGTGCAAAGAGTTTCTTGTTTTCACACTCCTGACTTATTTTAATGAATAATTAACAGGCTTGTGTTGCCCTTGATGTTTGCTGAGGAGGTAGAATGAATGCAATTATAGAATCAGGTGTTTTGAAAGCAGAGACAAATCTAAAACATGCATAACAATATGGGCCAAAAAGGACAAAGCTTAAGCTGTTGGCTTTTTTTTCCAGATATCCAAGGCTGTTGAATAATTTTTTTTAAGGAGCTTTTTCACAGGACTATATATTGTCATACATGTATGTTTTCCATGTAAATATGTCAATATGAGAAAATTTTCTGTGGCACAACATTTTGATTCCTCTGTATAGAAAAAAAAACTGTCTTTGTACTGATAATGGTACATTCTGTGAGGTAGTAAGGTCAAGGATCAGCAAGGTGAATAAACAAACAACAAAAAAAACCAGCATCAGCTACTGGATCCAGACTCTTCTGATGATTTTTATTTTTTACTTTTAACTCTGACAACCATTCCTGATGATCTGAAGTAATTTTTTTTAGAAATGGCTTAAATAAGTGGCTATCAGTCCTATAGAATGGCTTCAGATTGTGCCAGTAGGCTCTTTTGGTTGTTATCATAGAGTCAATTCTAATCCTTCCTCAATTCCTTTTCCCCCACTGAATTATTAATTCTATTTATGTATAATTGGAAAATTATTTTAATAGTTCTTCATGTACTGTAAGTATAACTGAATAGAATAAAATGATCCGCAAACCAAAAACAAGTAATCTCATGCCCTGTCAGCTGAGTTCTAGAATCCTGTCCCTATTCATTCCTAATCCTCTGTGGAAACGTGCCAATCATTCTAAGATCTTCGTCAAATGGACATGCAATGTTTGCTTTTAAAACCTACAGTAATGTCACCAACAGAGGAAGTGAATGTTACATATATATATATATATTCTCTATATTTTATGCACAAAACTATGACAAAAATCTGACTATCAGGAAATAAAACAGCGTGATTGGTTCCAAGGAGAGTGGAGACAGAGGACACTCTAGTTTACTGAAGAAAACCTGCTACTGACCAGGTTAGCTCTGGGGAGAAAGTTACTACTGTGACTGAAACAAAGGTTGTGGAAAATCTCAGAGTTTCCCTGTTTTCAGGTTTAGACAATGTAGAGTTTTCGGTAAACATGCTTTATGAAACAGACACTAGGAAGGTCATCGATGACATCCTCCAGCCATTTTAGCAGGAAATACTGGGACAAAGAATAATTAATTAAAAGGAAACAAAATACACAAGTTCAACCAATAGTCCAGAAGTAGTAGCCTTAACCTAAACATATAAATAGATGGAAACTGCAACATAATGCTAACGGAAACAAACCCTAATAGAAAGTGAAACAAAGTTGCAAACTAATGTTTAAATTTAAGAATTATGAATCAGAAATAAGAATAAGGGACAAGTGTTGAACACAAACTGAACCACTTTGTCACACTTTCACAGCAAAAAAAACTAAAACTTGCTGCTCATGTTTTAGGCTTCCAGGACCCTGATGATCACCTCCATACCCAGAGAGATCTCAGACCCAGGACTCATCACCAAACACTTCCAGTAATTATTTATCTTCTCTTGTAGCCTTTTGGCTTAAATTACCTCCTTTATTTTGTTTTATATTCACCTTTCTGATCTATTCATCGATTTTAAACCTTTACCCTCCAGCGAGGCGTACCCCAGCTGCACAGTCACGGACATCCGCTTCTGCTTTGACGTTCACAAACTGATGAAGCTGGACTTAGAAAGGTAAATTGACCTCTCACCCAAGTAGACGGCAACATTTAGATGTGGAGTAAAATGTTTTGTGTATTTTGCAGGCGTAAAGCAATGAAAGGCAGGCTCTATTTTGCTACTAAGTCCCAAAAAGATGGGAAGGTCATGATCATGACCCATCCGTGTGCACAGATATTTTGTTGCAACATATGTGGCTTTGAGAAGGTAGGTGAAAAGACTATACTCATTGCATGGGGAGAGTTTTACCACTTGATGGCACTGCAATGCAAAAATAAAAGTGTCTCAGTAGTGCAATTTAAGGTTTTTGAAGTTTGCAGTATAATTTTTTTGCAGGTAGATGCAGAACAGTACTACAGCGAATTAGAGGAGAAGCGCACAGATGAGTTCAACGCAGAGAAGCAGCGGATCACCATGAAAAGGCTGGGAATCGCCTTTGTGACTCTTAGAGATGAGAGAATGACAGCTGTGTGAGTAATCTGCAGGTTAAAACCTAAGGTCCTCTCATCTAAAGAGAGTGATGTAATGTTCATGCTGTTTTTTTTTTGTTTGTTGTTGTTTAGTTTTTTTACAGTTGTCTTTGTTTGTTTTTCAGCATTGTGAAGGACTACAGGCGTGTGCGCTGCCGTAGAAGACCCCAGCAGTCCAGCATCACTACTGTGGTGCAGTCGCACAGATGGGGGGTCAGCTATGCACCTGCTCCAAGTGACATCATCTGGTGAGTACCAGAAATTCACAGTTTTACACATAACCTAGGTTGTTACCAAACACCTCTTTTATCTTGTCAGGATTTTATGAGCTGAAGGGTTGTAAGTCGAAGGGAAAAAAGCACATAGTTTAAAATATTTTTGTAAGTAAAACTTTGAAAGGTTTGGTGTAAATTTGTATTCATTAAAGTTTACTTTGTTCTCCATAAATAAAACCCACCGTATCCATGTGCATTCAGAAATCCCTTAATTAGTCATGTAAAAGTATAATGTATGACAGCCCTACAGTAAAGGACCACAGATGTCAGTTAGGGAAACATTAGTGATTAAACTGCATCATAAAGACCAATGGATACAGCACTCTGGTTAGTGGGAATGTCATGGAGTAAATTATAGCACAATGAGGTTATAAGAAAAATAATACATATATGTCTTTCAGAGAACGCTGTTGATTTTATTTGATTTGATTATCTAAACAGAGTTGGATAGTAAGTAGTCAGGCTTTTTTTTTTTTTTTTTTTATTGTCATTACACGGTCACAAGTACAGCGCAACAAAATTCCCTCTCTGCATTTAACCCATTCCCTTGCAAAATGCACATGCATTTCTTTTAGGTGGAGAGGGTGGGTCTTTTCAAAAATACAAGAAAATCCTCCATACTTTCCAAAAAAAAAATGAATATGCACAACCCTGTACCTGCTCCGGAGAGGGAACATCTATTAAACGTATGCACGAACCCATTTCTCCTCGTGCACGCTGTGTTTAAATATTGCTGTTCTCATAGCTTATACAAGCTTACTGTGCCCGGACGTCCACTCTAACTCCTAAACCCACAATCATTATATAGAGAGGGGACTATATAGTGGACTTTATAGCTTTGCGAGGAGAGCTCTCCGTGCAAAGCATTCTGGAATATATCTGCCTCCTCTCTTTTCTTCTCATACACTTCATAGACACGTTTTCTCTTATGACTCTCAGCCATTTTCAAAGAAACGCAGTGAGAAAGTTGAGCTTCAATGACTGTGTATAACCATAGCTCATGACACATATACGCTTGAAAGTCTGTATGCGCAGAAAAATGTAGTCAAAGGAATGAGCACGTAGGACGGCCTTAGGTAAACATATCACCAGAATGATTGACAATTAGGAGGACCACTTAATTAGATGATCCACCCGTAGATAAAAGCTTGTCCTCTATACCTTTCAGCGATTAGGTGAATACTGAGTGAACAGTAGATGTTGTCAGAAGAAGTTCTTTACCCTGTTCAACAAATATACATCTACTTACTTAGAGTATTTTTTTCATTTTTATGTTAAAACAAGTTGGGGAAAATGGGAATTTATGTTGTAATCATCACATTTATTTGGTATTATTGCTTTAGTCTTTAGAATACCAGAATTTGCATGTAGTCGTCAGTCTTTTTTTAATATATATATAAATCAGATGTTTTGATACAACAAAATAAAAAGTTTGAAGTAATGTTGCTCTTAATTTAGTTAACTTTTTGGGTGCTCTACCCACCTCTGCATCGCAAATATGCAAACCTACCTAGACATGATGGTCCAACTAAGATGGCCAAGTTAAAGGTCACTGCATGTGAAATCCACAGCTTAAAAAAATTATTTAATTAAAAGAAAAAAAATGTACTATAAATCTCTCTTAAAGCTTGCGACTAATCTGGTAGGAGACACAGTGAATATATGAAAAAGCTATTCTGGTTAGATTAGAGTAATCTAAACTTTTTTGCATGTCTGCTAAATGCTCAGTGGCAAAAAAAAATCTTTACCTCACCCTGAACATACTATCCTGTTGAGGGAATGGTCTTGTGCACAATGCATATTTTTGTGATTATTTTTCTTAAATAAATTTTGAAATCATGTGTGATTATACTTTCATTTCTGAATCGGGCACTAAATAATGTGCCTATGTCATTTTATTTAACTTTATTTACATAGCTCAAATTTCACAACGCATGTCATCTTAAGGCATTTTATAGAGACAATAAGGTCAGATCATGGAGTTAGATTGATTCAAAGTTCTCTAATTAAGGGAAATCAGCTGACTGCATGAAGTCATTTACTCTGCAGGACTTGCTTTCCCTGTAGTGACATTTGCATTGAGTAGTTGATTCTGCAGCAATTCCTCACACTGCACATGCATGAAGCGACAGTGGAGATGAAAAACTCCCTTTTAACAGGAGGAAACCTCCAGCAGAACCAGGATCAGTTTTAACAGCCTTCTGCCGTGGCTGATTTGTGTTCAAAGAGACAGAAGCAGAAATATGAAAGGAACATAGAAGCACTGATCTGTAAAAAAAAATTAGGTTAGAAGTATCAAGGAAATACACTGACATTTTTTATTTTGATGTGATGCAGTGTAAAAAAGGTGACTTTTATGAATACTTTTAATATTCTAAACTAGATGTGAAAGAGATTTCATTTAAGCGTCTGGTTAACAACAGCAGCAGAATAAACTCTTTTACCCCAGCATGCACTTTAAATCCTTTATGGAGTAAAGTCACAGTCTCAGCACAACAGATGTAATCTTTTCTAATCTGCATGTCTTTTCACTGTTGGAAGAAACTGGAGCACTCAAAGGAAACCCACAACAAAACAGTTTTTAAGTCTAACACATACTTTTCAGAGTTTCTCACGCAATTTGGAGACGTCAACCCATAATCAAGCCTTACATTTTTGGCATATTTGGGACTCTGGGAAAGAAATGTGAATCATCTAAAATGCGATCATCTTAGTAACCAGTCTTTGCATTTGGAAAACTGTCTTTTTGATGCTTTGCTATAGAGATGACCTAAAGAGGTGATCAAATCCAGTGTGCCAAGCTTTTTGCTTCCAACCTACTTCTCTACATACCACATCTTAGGAAATCAGCTGGTTACTTGTGTATGGTTGTGATCTACCAAAATCAAACTTGGGGTGGAATCGTCTGGTCTCTAATATCAACTCAGACCCCTGCATAAGCACATTTTAAATAAAAGGTGAAAATGGCAAAACAGATGATAAGCATGCAAACTGGTTTGCACTGGTGAACCATATCCATATCCATATACATAAGGAGCTGTTAAATAAATAAGCAAAGGCCATATAGTAGCTCAAATGTTTAATTAAACAATGCTCATTATTTAAATGTCGTTTTTCACCCTCACATTTCTCTTCCCAATGATTTGTAGCACAGATCAAGACGCACATTTAACAAGTTGTGAGGCATTCACACTACTTTAAAAAAACCAAGTACCATTGGGAATCTGACAGAATGGTGCATGGTGGGTCCTGCTCTGCAGGAAGGAGAGCATTCTTAAGGCTAAGCAAGATTTCCTGTCCCATGACGATGACTGGTTTATCCGCCAATCAGACTGCCTAAAGCATTGCTTTTGGATCTGTTTGCTGAACGGGGGCGAACATAGGAGAGACTGAACCAACACCCTTTCTGTTCATCACCAATGGTAAACTAAAGTAATGTAATCTATCTACCATTTTAGATTAGATTCAACTTTATTGTCATTACACATGTACAGGTATAAGGCAACGAAATGCAGTTTAGGTCTAACCAGAAGTGCAAAAGCAGCAAGTGCAGGATAAATAATGGTTCCATAAATACAGGACGTGGGTATTTCTACTGAATGAGTATAGAGATGCATACTATGAATATAATATATAGATCACTGGTGTTATGAACTAAATTTACAGCTGGATATGTACCAAATATAATATACAGATGGATATTACTATTAAAAAAATGTTTTTACAGTTATGTACAATAGCATATATACAGATGGGTTTTACTATAAAATGAATAAATAGAGTTTGGCCAGAAGCTATCTAAATTAAAGTGCAGTGAAAGGTAATTGCATATTACCATACTTAAAGGTATAGTGGAAAATGGTGTTTTTGTGGGTGGATTATCAAAATAACTCCTAATTGTCAGTCATTCAGGTGATATGTTTACATAAGGCTGTCCTACGTTCCCAGTTAGCTATCTTTTTTTTCTGAGTATGCGCACTTTCAGGCGTATATCTGTGGTGAGCTACGGTTTCAGACAGCCATTGAAGCTCACCCTTCTCGCCACGGTACTTTGAAAATGTCACAATAGGCTGCCGCTATCCGACGGCTGCGACTAATAACAAAGATGTGCAGGCACCAGGCAGAAGGAGGAGTTACGTGACCAACAGGGGGCAATAAGCAGTGATCATCTGTCTGAACAGTTAGTTACCTGAGTTCACTATAAAGTCCAGTATATTGTCCCACTCTTTATAGTGATTGAGGGATTTAGGGGTTAGAGTGGATGTTCTGACACAATTAACTTGTATCAGCTATGAGAACAGCAACTTTTAAACAGAGTGTGCAGGAGGAGAAATGGGTTTGTGCAGGTTCTGGCATGCATTTAATAGGTGTTCCCTTCCTGGAGCAGGTACAGGGTTGTGCATTTGCATTTTTTTTTTTTTTAAGTGGAGAGGGTGGGTCTTCTCAAAAATTTGAGAAAATCCTCCACTATACCTTTAACAGGTAGGTAATCTTAGGTTTTTACCTGCACATACATGGATGACAGAGAATTATATGGAAGTTATTTATTCATTATGAGCATAATACAGATGTTCTGTTATGCTGCAGATTCTATAAGATCAAAAATAATTAAAGAGATTATTAAACATCTAAATATAGTAAGCTGATGGTCATTTTTCTCTTCATATGAAGTCTTATAGAAGGCTTGGTTGGCAGTTTCCCCAGATTTTTATTTTAATGAATTACAGCCATTAACCACTCTGGGGTTTGTGGCGACTGGCTCTTACTAGCTTGAAATCCTCACACAGGTGATAAACATATTTAATAATTAATTACCTTTCTGTATGAAACAACGTATGGAAACAGAATAGTTCTGTCAATTCATCCAAAAAGCTGAGATATTCCAAGCAACACATGGAGACTTATGCACATAGCCAGGATTTATCAAGGACATTTTCTTTGTGTGTATGTGAACATGCTTTGATAAATCTGAAACATATCTTCTAGATGCCATTTCTTTATTTTTAGCATATGACCCTTTGAGTGTAGATCCCATGTAATGTTTGAGACCTCTGCTCTTACTGCTGGATGGTCCTCAACTAAACCTTTATATCCCGTCCCTGACCTCCCCAGGGAGAACCTGTCTGTCTGCGGCTCTCGCTGGTGGCTCCGATGTGTTCTCCTCAACATCCTCCTCTTCTTGCTGCTCTTCTTTTTCACCACTCCTGCCATCATTGTGAACACCATGGACAAGTTCAACGTCACGCAGCCCATGGAGAGTTTGAGGGTCAGATTTTTTTAATATTTCTGAGCTTTGCTTTGACCTTACTGGATCATGTTGACTAACCATATTTCTCCTCTCTGTAGAGCCCGATTATTACTCAGTTCTTTCCCACCTTCCTGCTCTGGGTGTTCTCAGTGCTCCTGCCTTTCATCGTTTATTACTCAGCCTTCTTTGAGTGCCACTGGACCAGGTACCCATCCTGTACTTAACTTTCTTGTTCTATTCCAATCTTTCTAGTCCTTGCCTTTTTCAAACAGTCATTTTTTAACCCTATTTATTATGTATTTTCCTTTTATTCTCTTGATTTTTCTCTCTCTCCCTCGCTGTCATTTTTACCCGCACTGTTATTCTAAGCAGGTTGTCATAGAGATCTTCATGAGAGAATAATGAAATGCACTGTAGTTGCCCTGCGCCATTTTTTCCCATTTTTTTTTCTGTTCGCTGTGTTTCGCTTAAAGAGGCTTGGAACAACTGTGCATCCGGATGAAACCTTCATTCAGCACCTATGAGCTCTGTTTCTTTACATAACCACCCACACAAACGTTTGTGTGCAGGCGAAAGGAGCGAATGTGAATCAGATATTTACTGGAGGGAAAAAAAGCAGAATGAATCCAACTGAGCTAAAACATGTTGATTCAGTTAAATGTACTTTTCTAAATGCATTCATTGTGCAATGTTTTTAATTTTTTTGACTCGATGTCCACTGGTGTCTCTCAGATCAGTTGAAAACCAAGTGACGATGCACAAGTGTTTTCTGCTGCTGATCTTCATGGTGATCATCCTCCCTTCACTTGGTCTGTCCAGGTAAAATCTCAGCAAAAACACCGAAAAAAAAAACACAAGTTTTATTTTCATTCTAATGCAGTTTTTGACTTCTACCTTTTTTTATGTGATACATTTTTTTGTAGTCTGGACCTCTTCTTCACTTGGTTGTTTGACGTCAACTTTCTGGATGAGAAAGAAATCAAATTCCAGTAAGGATACTTTTTCTCATTTCAAACTGAAAGGTCAATGTCAGCTTTTTTTTATTTAGCACATAGTAAGGTTGTGTCAAAGTGTTCAATAAGGTATTGGTATTCAATAAGGGATTCAAAAATATATACTGTTCAGCAAAAATCGCTTATAATTATATGATTAAAATTGTGTAAAACATGTTTATTTAATATGGAAAGTATTCAATTCATTTAAATAGCATGTTGCTTAGTTGGAGCCAAGCCAAGTGTGTTTAGGTAAGCACACTCAGTTCCTTATACCCAGCTCTGAGAACGGATAGTCTGGCATCTTGGACGACCAACTTATGCAATGCAGTATTATTCTTTTCATTCACCTGTTATACTCTACAATTGGTTAGACTATCTAATGAAATCCAAATCATGAAAATATCTGGAAATGTTTAGGTTCCTTCAGCACAACACTGTAAGCCATTTTAACCAGAAGCATCTTTTTGATTTTAGGTGTGTGTTTCTTCCTGACAACGGTGCATTCTTTGTGAACTACGTGATCACCTCCAGTCTGGTTGGAACATCTATGGAATTGCTTCGAATCCCAGCACTGACTGTGTACGCTCTGCGACTCTGCTTTGCCAAATCCCAGGCTGAACGCATACATGTTAAAAGGGTTGGCTATTTTCTTCTATTTGTTTTTATGTTTAATGCTTCTGTTTAAGTGTTAAAGGTCTACATAGGTCAACCTTTTTTATATGTGCAGAGTCAAGCTTATGAGTTCCAGTTTGGCCTGGAATATGCCTGGACAATGTGCATCTTTGCTGTCAGTATGACCTACAGCATCACATGTCCTATCATTACACCCTTTGGTGAGTGACATGCAATTACCCACTTGTATCATTCTCCAACCCTCTTTTTTCAGCCCTTTCCATTCCTCCAGGCTCTCTCTTAGTCAATGTGTATGTGCAGGCTCTCCTCACACAGACTGTGTGAATATGCTGCTGTAGTCCCAGACACCCAGACACAGCGAGCTGCAAGCCAGACGCCCACTCCACTCCTGTGTCAGCCTAGAGCTCACCAAGTTCTGTTTGCTTCAGCAGCCTGATCGCTAGTCCAAGCAACTTCATTTATGAAAGACAAAAATTAGCTTTTACATAAGCTTTACATACTGTCAGCAAAAGCCTTTAGTAAAGTGCAATGCTGTGATTTACAGACTATATTTGTTTTCCAGGAACTAGAGATTCTTGGCCCTTTTTACACTGCTCTTAGCTTTATAAATGCCTTTTTTAAAGTCGTAGGGAAGTCATATTTAAATGTAAATCATTTTGGCTTAAACATGTAAATAAATGTACTCTTTATCAGACCATATTGTCACAAAATTTAGAAAATTTCTATTGAAAAAGAAAATCCTGTCTTAAAATCTGTGGGGTTTCGTTATATGTTACATGCCATACAGGCATTGTCCTATTCTATAGCTCTTTCTCCGCCTCAAGCTTCTTTTCCAAACAACTGCTTTATGATCAATTGCAGCAGTTCCGCACAAATTAATCATGTCAAAAAATTGTCACTTTTTAAACACCACAATGTATTAAATGAATACAAATGCTGGGAACCAATTCTTTTTTACATTTCTTTAATATTTTGTTCTATTCAGCTACACAAGCATCATCTTTAAACTACTAAGAATTGTGCTATAAATGTGACTTTACCCGATTCTTATGTACACCTTAGCAATTTATTGATATGTCGCACAATGTCCTCCTTTTTGGTGCTATAGAGATGGCCACCCTATTTCTAAGTCACCAGTTTAGTGCTACTTGGTCTCAATGTAATTTCCCGTTGGGAACCTACTAGCACGAAGTTGCTAACTGGTTAGCAAGATGCTTCCGACAAACCAGCCACAACCAAAGTTGCTTGCGAACCTTCCGCCACAACTGTCCTGCCCCCTTGATAAACAACCGATCGCATTCACTTTATTCCCTTGTGTAAAGTCGGGCACCACTCGAGAGAATTTGCGAATGCAACGGTTAGAACAGCTGCTTCCCTATGACTTTAAGCTTACCTGAGGGATTCAGCCCACTTTCTGTTCCCGATCATCTCAGCATTTAGTTTAATACAGCCTTTAACACAGAGATTTGATTTATGCTGACATAGATGGGCTCCTAATCTAACTCAGGGAATTGCATTATATAGTTCTAGTAGTAACACATTGATTTTATTTTATTTTTTTATTCAAAAATGTTTTATTCCAAAAAAATGACCAAAAACATCTCTGGGACAATCTCTGGGACATCTAGTACTAAGTAGAAGGAGACGATGCAGGGTTGTGTAAAAATGTATTAGGCCCTTTACACTGGTACCTTTGAGAAAAAAACCAGTGGAAGCAGCTGACTTTAAAAAGCATCCAGTCAAGTAAAAACATCAAATAAACATATTTTTATATGATAAAATGTATGCCTAATTATTTATGCAACTCCAGAATGATAAAGGTAAATATCTTTGAATATTGCAGCAATTTTTATAAACACTGTTATTTTAATAAAGGAAAGGCTGCTTTTCTGTGTCTGGCTGCACCACTTTAAAACCTCATCCTTTGCAGTCAAAGCAGCATGCTGGTAAAATAAAATAAAATTATATAATAGAATGGAATAGAAAATCCCTTTATCGTCCATTTACAGCATCAAAAGCACCTTAGACACCTTAGAAAAGTGTATAAAAATAACAGGAAAATAAAACAAATAAAGTGTTGTACTGTACAGTGTTTTTACAATATGAATACTGTATCTGGAGAATAAATAATCAATAACAGCTGTGGACATTTTTACAGTAATGGATATGTAAAAAATAGCAGCAACCCCAGAGATGTGCAAAACAATGACAGCAGCTCGTTATTTAACTGACTAAGACAGAAGCTGTGCAAAAATCAGCATCAATAAAAAAGCTTGCCTTAAACCTAAATAGTTTGAATAGTTTTGGGCTTAATATATTTTGTATTGTTTTTGTTTTTACTAGGGCTGCTCAGTGGAGCAGTTGATAGGACTAATGGCTTTTTTCTTGTTTTGTTTGGAACAAAATGTACAGACGATGTTTAGGTTTAATGGGCATGTTTTTCCATTTCAGTGTCTCATATTTCTGTTTTTTGCAGGGATGTTTCTGAAAAGATCTGATTGTAGAAATCAATTCTTTTGTAATATTTTTTTAGCCATTCATTTTCTAGTTTGCTGCTATCTTTTTAACTCAAGATGGAAGGATGAAATTCACTTTAACTGTTTGTTTTTTTGCAAGATGAGATTACCCAGTGTAATTTAATTTCACTCGTCCCTCCAGGTCTGCTCTACGTGATCTTAAAACACATGGTTGATCGATATAACATCTACTACGCATATGTTCCCACTAAACTCAACCAGAAAATCCACAGAGCGGCAACCTGCCAGGTCATCGTGGCTCCAATCCTCGGCATGTTCTGGCTGCTCTTCTTCTCTGTTCTCAGATTAGGTGCTTATTTCTCTTTTGTTTGAGGCAAAGCTGAACCTTCTCCACGAAATCAAGATACAAATACGCTATGCTTGTGTTTCTCTGCACTGTTGCAGGTCCAATGCATCCCATCACCTTGTTTACATTCGTTTCTCTCATCTGCTGTATTGCCTGCTCACTTTTCCGTATATGGCTTCGAAAGACACCCGACAAGTCAACAAGCTACCAGGTCTGCCTAATTATCTAAAATAACTGTTATGTATTTCAGAATTCAGAATTAGAAGTATTCATTTGATCCATTTACCCTTTTTTCAGATGTCTGATCAGCCAGCTGCAGAAACGTATCCCGATGCAGACAGGAGCACAGTGACATCAACCACTGCCTCAAATGTACAGTAATTATTTTGTTTTTCAAAAATGTTTTCCTCCATCATGTCATGTAGAGCTTTAAAGCTCTATGCTACTCATCTGTGAAAAGCCTAATAAGAAGTTACACAACATCCTGTCTTTTAAAATTATTATTAAAGAGATTGATGTTAATTCAGATTAGTCTAAATTAATCTGTCAATTATGTTTTTCGATTAATCGATTAATAATCAGAGAGAAAAGGTTGTTTTTTTAAAGATTTTTTTTCACAATCAAACCAGGTGAAAATGAAAACTTTTCTGCTTGACAAACAAGCTTTTTTATCCTAAATGCAAAATATGTATAGATATTTTTAACAATTTTTGTATAATTACTGTTCTAAGTGAGTTGCTCTGTCAGCTAAATGTTTTAGACTCTCTATAGCAAATCTATAGCAATATTTAACATGTTTTAGAGTCTCTATATCCCAGTTAATTGATTACTAAATTAGAGGACAATTGTTTAAATAATCAATCTAATTAATTGTTTTTGCAAAATAATTTAGATTATCAAGTTATTCTGTATTACATAAAATAATAATTATAATATTATTAATTCCCAAGTCTTTTTGCAACTTTTTCCAGGTTTGCTTTGTATACATTATATCAATCCGGCCTCAAATACCTTTTGCTCTTAGCACACTCTCTAAGATGTTTTGAAACAAGTTTTGATCTTCTCAATCTCTCAAATCATAATTTTTGCACGCATTCATAACCTCCTGTTTTTTGTTTTTTTTCCTTCAGCTGTTTGTTGCATCTGTGTTGTTGGAGCCAGAGCTGGCTTTAACACCCATGCCATCCCCGGCTCACCAAGGCTACGGTGCCATGGCCAGCTCCCAGAGTTCAGGTCACGGACCGGCGGCTGGAGCAGTGGCTGAGGAGGAACAAGCCCAAACTTTTGAGACTGAGCTCAGAGACCCTGCAGACCCCTACTGTTCCAGCCCGCTCATGGACAGCCCCACAGGCTACCAGTGACAGCAGCTCCCACTTCATCTAATTTACATGTGTCCTGAAGTGGCGGAGCACAGATTTTTAAATGCTGCTATGCTGCATTTTGACCGCAGGCTCTAATTTGGCTGCATCAGACATTGAGACAAGATAGATCTTATGTGAGGACATAAAGAATCTAATGAAACAGCTGAATTATTTAAGACAGAGCATTCCAAAAGAAAGCAGCTACCTAAAACCTTGTCTGAACTTGCTTCATAAACACATCAAGATCAAGCTAATATACAGTTAATAAAAAATGAAAATTATCTCCTATTGCTTCCTTTGCAAGTTAAAAAGGTTGAAAGTAAAAGGGAGGGAATGTAGCTTGAAGCCACTAGCAGACAGACACGCTCCATGCTGTGCAACTGGAACATTAGCGGAGTGGAAAGTTCCCATCACAGTGGGTGGTGAGAGCAGGCTTGCCCCTGTAGACTGACAGCGCGGCCCGGCCATGGGTGATATGTGCTTCCTCTGTGAGGCTGAGGGTGAGGGCAGCGACTTGTGAAGCCATCTGCCATGAGATTGCAGACAGACGGAGGGCAGTCAGGCTCTCAGATGGACTGTAGTATATGTACAGTCCTGCCATAGAGGCAGAAATGGTCTAAAGCTTATTGTAATTTATCTCAATATAAGGTTGCTATTTTTGCTACTGTATTTTTGGTGTTGTTCACGTGAAAGCTTTAAATTGGAGGGTGGTGGGTTCTCAACTTTCTCATCTTAATGAGAAAATTACATTGTTTACTCTGTTAACCTGTGTACCTGATCTAATTGTTTGGGTTTTTTATGCTTTCACTTCTTGCATACAGTATACTTTGGCGATCAAATTATTGATTTCCAATTAGCAGAAATAATGTAAAAAAGAAAATTGTATTTAAGTAATTTAATTCGAAAACTCTAACCTATGATGATTCATTGCACACAAAGTCAAATATTTCCCTATGTCTCTGTCTATTTTGTTGATGAATGTTTGTTTCTAATTTCTGTCTAAAAGAGTTTTTCCTTCCATCCAACTTTTCTGTAATATATTTTTGTTGTTTACCCTCTTTTTGGAGACCATCAAAAACTAATGTAGGCATGAAATAACATTATAACATAAAAAAAAAAGTTTTTTGTTGATCTTACATAGTACTTAAGTTTGCTGAAAAACTGAATTTAAGGTTGTCATTAGCTGTGATCCATGATAGAAGAAAATAAAGGATTACAGCACATATAATTGTCTAATCAATTAATCTATTATTTTTCCCTTTTCTATTGAATTGTTTGAAGAGTAAGGCTTTTCAATGATATTCTGATTTATTGAAATTTACTCAAAGTACATCCAATACTCCATTCTGGCTTATATTTTTAAAAGACTAAATTACGTTTACATTGGATTAGCTAAATTCAAATATAATGATGATTATAAATGTGAACGTGTTTGCTCTTTTTGTTTAATCACATAGGCTTAATTCATCATGAGCTCTGTGTATTATGTGCAGCCTTGTCATATGAACAGACAATCACAAAAAACAGACCTAATAGTATGTACAAAAGAGTCAATGTGCAGAAGAAGGCAAATTACAGCAGGCTAAATTAGCAATACACCGCACCTTTTGCATTTATTGGCATCCCAGGTAAAGACACTTTAGAAAGCCTTGGATTAAACTTGACAGAGGTAGCATGATCTTACAATGAAATATTTTTCTTACTGTAACCTTCATTTGAAGACATTAATTTAGACCTGAACAAAATCGTACATAAGGATTTTTTCTTTATAAAATTAGTATCATGTATCACCCACAGAAATTCCATTAAAATGAAATGATGCATTTTCTATTCAGCAACTTTCCAAGGTTTGAATTCAATAAGTTCTTGGATATTGATTCAGCATTTTATTTAGTGCAACCATTTTAAGCTTTTAAGATCACCTCACTACCACATGCAAAATAATTAATTCAAAGCATGTTTAAGAGGTATTTTAGGAACTAAACCCCTTTTCTGTCCCACCACAAACAAATGTGTGGAGTGATTGACTGGACATCCTGATAGGGAGCCATATTCCCTGTAAAAAAAAAAAAAAAAAAACGCTATCCTTAAGGAATACATAAATAAAAATTTTAAGTAAACATTTTTCCAAAATCCCAAAGATCGTGCTATTACAATACATAGTATTTAAATGCATTTTATGCTATTTGGGGTGGAAGTAAATGAGGAGGGTGCAAGATGTTTGTTGCTAACACATTGACCAATATGTTTGGGTTATTTTCCTGCATTAAAAAAACTAATCCTTATTTGCTGACATAATTCTTTCAGTTGTATAAATAAAGACAATAAAAGCACATGTAATAACAGCAAATTTTAATGAAAATCTCTGGCAGAATACAATCATGTGAAATGTGTGAACCCTACACTGTTCTACAAATTGTTTACAAATGCCATCTGCAAAGGTTTTTAGAAAAGAGAGAGACTTCATCTGCAGTGAAGTTCTTAGATCAACTTGTTTGTATAAAACCCCTGTTTCCTCAGTGCTCTTGTGCTACAATTGCTTTGTGTGATGTTTCAAATACAAGCCGTAAAATTACAACCCAAACATGCCTTTCTGTTTTCATTTGCACTGATTTTCCTGTCAAACATCTTTGTGCTAAATGGGTTGTTTAGTGTAGTATATGTTTGTTTTCATTGAGTTTTTCCAGGCTTTGTGAATCTGAATGTAAGCTGATTTCTTCTGCTGTGACTTCAAATCCTTTCATCTTTAAATGTTACAATACATGTATAATACTGAATGGATTTAAAAACAAATTAACAGCACAAAACTTTGATTTGCCATTCAGTGTTGCATTCTGTAGCAGGCAGTGATCTTCTACTAAGACTTTTATAATAGGTCCAGTTTACCTAAAAACATTACATTTATTAACCAATAGATGTTTAGCTTCTCCTCTTACGTGCTAATTGATTTATGTAAAAAGTTCCTCAAAAATCTTTAAAAGTTACAAATGTCAAAATGTCCACTCCTAAGATATAGTAACCAAACAAACGAAATATTTCCATACTGTACTTCACTATTTAAAATATAATTATGGCATCTTCTTGATTCTAATCATCTTTTATAGTCTAACTTTATGTATTTTTTACCATACAGATCAAAAAAAATTTTATCCTCTTTACACGTTTAATATTTTTGTAATGTTTCAGTCACCAACTTTACCATATTTAGTGGGAATTATGCAATAGAGCAACAGTGTTGTATAAATAAAAAAGCTTAATCTTAAGAATGTATTTGTATCAGCCCCCAGGATTTTGTAGGACAAAGGTTTGGTGCAATTAGGCTTGTAATCCTTTTCTTTTAAGTTTCTTTCACCTTTGCGTATCTGGGCACTACACATTCTTTGCAAGTCCTGCCAAAGATTCTCAGCTAGATTTAGGGCTGAAATAAATATGGTGGGCCAGAGCCATTTCTACAGATGTGCTGGCCCCTCTGATTAAAACCACCCATGCACACTACTGAAAATGAGTCCCTCTGCTCATTTACCTCTCTATAAATAAAATAAAGCTTCACTTTCTGACAGTATGTCACCTCAGCCACACAGAAAAATTTACCCAGGCGATTTAGAAAAAGACTGAAGCAAGCTCCGATAAGACACCCAATTAAAAACCTTCCGAATGTCTGACATGTCTGACATCAGTCAAAAAATAAAGATGATTATATAGTAATAATTGTAGTTGTTATTTACAATTATTAATTATATAGTAATATATGAAACATTCCTGTCTGAAGCAGAGCCCTAGCAGATTGTTAAAGCTGAGGTCTCTACAAATCAGAACCACAGAAACATTATCATGAAATGGAGAAATAAAACCTTCAGTCCACTTTAAACACCTTTTAATGCAAATGGAAAACAGATAAACATCCTCAAGATCTAATAAGGCAAAACATAGAGATATAAATTAGAGATATAAACCAAATTAAAACTGACATAGAAATAATGTTTCTTTGGAAGAATAAGGGTAGACATTTCTTTTCACCTTATCAGATCTTTCACAGCATCATTGTTGCATAGTTGCCATTGACCTCTGGTAGAATCAGCCACACCAGGAAGTCTCCTGAGACTGTTTCTGATCAGAACCACAAACATTCGAGGTATCAGATTGCGGCTGTGTTTTGATGTAGCTTGTCCCCCTGACATCACATCCTCAACCATGCCCCTGAGGCATTTTTAAATCCCCAGAGAAAACCCCTTTTCTCTCTCTTCCCCTGAACATCGGTCTGATGCAAGGACAGATGCAACATGGACATTATGCTACATGTGGTGCAATCTCTGCTACTGTGATCCATTTTTGCTTGCAAAAAGGACTGCATCCCTCTTCAAAAGAGTTCTAAGCTGAAAATCCAGCAGAATTTTTAAATCTTCACTTATCAATCCACTAACATGGCACCCAGTTTCCATCCTGGCTAAGCACTCTGTGTCCGGTGTGCCCTCCTGCAGTGATTGTGGTTCAGACCCAAAGACTGTTTGGTCACTGCCTGCCTTTCAACACTGTGAGATGCAGGAACATCCACTGTCTATATTGTGTTTATTTGTAATTCTTCATTATTGGATTAAGTAAGGGCTGCGCTGTGGGTAGCATTGCTGCGTTGCAGCAAGAACATTCTGGGTTCGATTCCTGGCCTGGGGTCTTTCTGCAAGGAGTTTGCATGTTCTCCGTGTGCATGCAAGGGTTATCTCTGGGTACTCCAGCTTCCTCCCACAGTCCAAAAACATGACTGTTAGGTTGCTACAGGTTGCTACTTGCTTCTCTAAAATCGCCTTGGGATGAGTGTGTGTATGTGAGTGGTTTTCTGTCCTGTTTGTCTCTGGGTTGCCCTGCGATAGACTGGCGACCTGTCCATAGTGTACCCGGCTTCTCCTCCATTGACAGCTGGAAATAGGTACCAGCACCCCTTGCGACCCCAGCAGGGAAAAGCATGATGGAAAATCGATGTATGTATTAAGTGAAATCTGATTGGTTGAATTTTACAGATGCTGTATATCATCTAGACTGCTCATCTGCTGGACATCCCCTAAGTGTATCAAAGCTGAGCTAATGAGCTGAACAATATCAAAGACTCTACCTTAAGAATTCTTTTTTTTTACTGATTTTTTCATGTATTCTGTGTTTGTTTTCAGCAGCTTGTAGTGTTTGCACAGTTTATTAAACATAAAAACAATGTGATCGAGATTTTTGGGTTTAATAAAGCATGGCCTATTGTGGCAGTCTGTGATTATTTATACAGCAGTGACCAGCTGTCTAAAAGGAGCAGAGCGTACTTCCTTTGACTAACAACTTGAATGTACAGAGACGAATATCTGCCGTGTGGTTAATGATTAATAACTCTACTTGAATCATAAACCGAATTATTGACATTTACTGATGGTGAAGACATCTTGGATTTTAAAAGCTGCAAGCCACAATCTTGAGTTGTTAATTACACCAGGTGTGGAAAACGTCTTAGGAATATGGTAAACAATGCAAAGTGCTGTTTAAAGCTTTTATTAGTTCCTTCTTTACTTTGTCAAAATGTTCCCACATATTTGATTCATTTGGCAAAACTCTGTTCCATTTTGCCATCTGCTCTGTTGCATGACAACATAACACTTTATGTTAAGGCTGTAGTAAAATGATAACGTATTATTACCATAAAATAAAATCTATTCCGGCCTGGTTTATGAAGGATCTACTTATGGCTCGTAAGATGCTTAATAGCGGAATATAAAACCTGACAGTCACGTCAGTTCAGAGAATGATGGAGCCAAATCTGTCTGGAGAAAACATTAAAGAGGACATCTTTAAAGTATTCTCAGTTTTTTCCAAAAGACAGTTTCATGAACATTAGTTATCATCTCCACTGGAAAAACTGAATGAAATAGAAGAGATGAATATGATATACTTAGCTCTTTGCAGAGTACATACATTTGTAGATTCATTAAATTCTTAAATGCCATCTTAGGTGAACTGAACTCTCGAAAGTTTGTTGATTTTCAGATATGTCCATATATGTTCATATATGTCTATTTTACCATCATAAATAAAGAATATATTGAAATTTGGAAGCAAAGTAAGTATTTAAAATTAATCTGTCAGGCTATTGGATCAGGGAGTCTGCAATCTAAAATCAAAATTTGTTTAGCTTCATTACTCTATGAGATGGCTCCATAAACTACTGTTACTTACCTTCACTTTGGTTTACATTGTATTTCATTTCTTGGAGGAATAAAAAAAAAAGGACCAAGTTGACATTTTGAGAAAACATTGGTTTACTGCAAAGACGTGAATGACCAGCAGCTTATCATAGAATGACTGAAAACAAGGAGAAACAACCCAGCCCTGTGTGCAAGACACATGTTCAGACCACAAGGTTATATTTTGCAATCTCACCTCACTTTATTGACCTAATTGGTTCTGAAACTGTCATGAATGATATTGAAATTAACCAGGTACTTTACTCTAGGTTACCAGGTTTCTTTACTAGAATTTGTAAGTTACATTAAGAAAATCAGCTGTATGATTTTATGAAACTTTAAACCTATCACATATTTTCAAAGACCTTTTTGTAACCTAATATAGATTTACATGGAACTAACTAGGTCCTTTCTTGAACTTTAATTGACTTCTTCAGAATTTACAGGGTATTTAAAGCTTTTCCTGGACTTCCCTGGTAATTCCCATTGTATTTATTTAACAATGTTCTCAATTGAAGTTCAATAAAGTCCCAGAAGGTTCTCAAGTATTTATATTACGAGAAATAATTCTGTATCTACCTTCTGAGTTTTACAAATATATCCCATCTTATCAAACATTTTAGACTGGTATTGCAACACCAAGCCTTTTGGAGTCATTTTTTGTGGTTATTTGTTATGTGGATGTTTTTGTCATGTTAGAAAAGGAATATTAAAGATTGTTAAAGTGAGGAAGATTTTTCCCCTTGGAAGTAATTCTGTAGCGCCCCGGGGGCTTCCTCACCGGTTCTTTTCCTGGGAGCAAGTTATTTACTACTCTTAACTCAAACTGGGTAAAACCATATAAAAAAGGACAATAAAAACAGGAGTAAAAAAGTAACAGGGTTTATTCCAGATCAGGTCGTTACAGGACAGAGAAAAATGCTTAGAGCTTG